ATACATGTTTATTGGCCTCTTTAAAAAGTAATTATTACTCTTTTTTTTTTTTTTCTTTTATAAAAAACTCCAATCACTTCCACGTCGAATCAAAGTAACCTAGTTTATTTTGTCTCTAATTTTGTAGATACTTGGCATATACACTATACTTGGCCGGTAGGTTCACATATAAGATATGAGTTAACATTCACACAATTTACTCAACCTTTCTTCTAGTCACACGTATCTTGGCGTATGTCTATTGGTGCTATTTTAATTTTTGCGATGCCAAGATTTGTTGTACTTGCGACTTCGGAAATTCAAAGTAATCATCAATTACTTCGATCAAAACATGTCCATTTTCGTGAAATTTTGGAGAAAATACATTAACCGAAAAAACTTAAACCAGATTCATTCATATAATTTGGTTTATTTTGCCAGTTATACCAAGTAAGACTGATTTTATATTAGGTCATCATGAATACAACAATTGTTAATAACTTACTGCTGTCTCTAAAATACTGTATAATTCAAACAATCGGCTTATAATAATAAGTTGTATACACCGTTCTCACTTATAATGAGATGGGTCCCATTCCAATCACCTGCCCCTCTGACTATCCCTATCCCTTATCGGTGGTTCAAAGTGCTTGCATAGTTCGATTGGAAAACTTGATTTGCATGTGGTTATATTTGATCATTACTATCATTGATACTTTAATTGGAATTTCTCTACGAAACCTTTTGGAATCCAATGAAGAGCAAGAGAAAGATGCTGAAAGTGAGGGAGCCGAGAATCCACCCCCAAAAGTTGTAAACCAGCGAGGAAGTATATTCGCACCTATTTTCACATTTATACCAGTTTTTCCTCGACGGCACCACCATGTTCCCGCTCCCGTTCGCTTCTTACCTCACGGCGGAGGTCGTCATCATTTTTCTCGTCGTGGAGGAAGAAGGTGATTGGAGTTTTTTATAAAAGAAAAAAAAAAAAAAGAGTAATAATTACTTTTTAAAGAGGCCAATAAACATGTAT